CAGCAGGAGTTGTATTGGCATACAATTCATTTATGTTCCATCTTCTGATTAAAAAAAAAAAGTTGTTCTTTTAAACAAAACAAAAGTTCAGGTTCGGTTATGTAACAAGGAACACTAATCATCCACCACAGGGTCTTACAAAGCAATAAAAACAAGGTTGGCACTAAGGCTTAAACCTCTCCTTAAAAAAAGAAAAAAAACCCATTTCATAGAGGGCGCATATTTCCCAAGGGTCTTGGATAAGAAAACCCTTTACTGTACACACCAAAATAAGCACTATAGAAAAATATGTATAGTGTTCAGACTGCTAGCGTCACTTTAGTCAAACAAAACAAAGTACACTTACCATTTGATGCTGGGATCCAAACATAGTGTTACAAGGCACACGGCACATGCAGGAAAGGGGTAACCCCAGCTGCAATAAGAAAGATGGAATCTAAACAACTCACTGGTATTTTAGTTGCTTGCTTCAACTGCTTCAAAAATACCAGAAGGAATCAAAGTGTCAAGTAGTAAACACATACAGTGGCAGAGCTCTGTACCAGTAACTGTTACTGGCATGTTAAACTGAGTTTCCTCTTAGAATTAATGATAAGAATAAGAGCGGAGAAAAGAAGAAAAGGGAGGTCCCTAGAAATTAAGAAAACAACTATAAGGTAACAGCCAGTTTTTCATACAAGTAAGAAGTAGTAAAGAATAACCAAGCCTGGCCTCTTTCCAGAGTCCGTACCTTATCTCCAGGGTTGTACCAAAAGTGTCATTTTATTCCAGGCATCCCCATCCTCACTAGTAGCCTAACTCTTTCTTTCTTTGCTCTAGTTATTTTTATATATATAGAACAAAGAAATAATATTTAAGAATATTAGAATACTAAAACAAATAGCAAAAAGTTATTCAGTTATATCTATATATATGGCTGAATAACTTTTTGCTATTTGTTTTAATATTCTTTGCAAGGTCTAATACAGCTGGGCTTTGGCAATTCCCACTTTATCCTTATAATTCTTGACATGTAAAAGCCTTTAGCTTTCTTTCACAGATCAGTTCCTCACCTCCCTACTCCATTTCCTGTCTCTACTAATCCCCAGTATCCTTTTGAGGTGATTATTCATTCTGTGGGTTTGGAGTCCTTCTCTGCCAGTTTTTTTCTTTTAAACCCGAGACAAATTTTAGAGAATTTTTGCAACACTGACTTTACAAAATGACAGACCTCCATTATTACTAGCATTTTTTCTTCAGGCTGTATCTGAAATAAAAGTCTCTTATAAATGAAAATTTATGATAGTCTCTCTCTCAAACAATTTAAGATATGGATTGATAGCTGTCTAAATACATTCCTTGAGTCTACAGCAAACCCCAAGCTCTACTCCTGTAAAACTTCTATCTTCGTCCTTAACATAATTTTAATTTGGATTCCATTTTATGTCCGCTGTCCCTTCCTTTTTGTTCATAGTCTATCATGTCACTAACACATTATCCAAATACCTTTATTTTTTAAGAGTGCACCGATAGAGATTTTTGGGGCTGATACCAATAGCCAATTTTTAAGGCCGATATCGATCCACATATTGGCCAATACCAATCCAATTTCCAATACCAGCCTGGCAGCTTGAAGAGCAGTGTCCAGCTGGTAAGTCTGTTGTGGTGGAAGAGGGGAGGGAAGGGAAGGGGTTTGGGGAGGCAGATCAAGGCCCCCACGGTAAGGGAGGAAGTGGGGCTGGGGCTGGTGCTGCCCAGCCAGGGTGGGGTGGGGCATGAGACAGAGCCATGACTCATCTGGTGGTGGG